TAGTTCCCAAGAAAAATATTAGTGGAAGGAGGGAGTGTGGAAGAAAACAAGTTCGAATTTGACTGCTTGCGAATACAGAAGATATACCCATGTCGTGTCGTGCAAAATTTAAAAGTTAAAACCCTAAACTACACAATGGAATCGTAAGTACTTCTTATTTTCTTTTTCCTTCCGTAATTATTAGATACGTTATTATAATTCCTCTATAACCAAAAAACCAAAAAGATCAATTTGCCGCCGCTGAATTTAGTCAAGTTACGTTAAGTTATCCATATTTTAATTTTTCTTTGAATTTTAGTTACCTATATTTATTTCTTTCTAATAACAAAAGAATTTAGGAAGGTCAGTCAATTAATGCGCTTAAAAGTCGCTCTAATCTGGTAATAACTTATGCCAGAGACCTCTATCCTGGATCCAGCTCCGATAAAGCTATCGTTGCATATTGTGGGATTTTGCAACAATTGGAAGCAGGCGACCTGATCGTAGCCGACAAAGGGTTCTTAATTAAAGATTTATTGCCAAGTGGAGTAAATATTAACGTTCCACTTTTCTTGGTAACTGCACAGTCTGTGGAACAAGTACGCCGAACAGAGTGTATTGCCCGGGCAAGGATTCAGGTAGAGCGGACTATTAGGGAGAATGAAAATTTTAAATTTTATTCCTTCTACACTATTCAGTTATAGCTCTGTAATTTTTAAAACGATTGCAGCTCATACAAATTTACAGTACCCTTTATTAAAAGAAGTGGAAGAATTTTATACCGATATTGAGGAACAATGATTTCTTAAACATTTCTGTAACATAATAATATGTACATACCTATTAATGGAAAACTATATAACCTAATAATAACACATGTACACCTAAGTGTTACTTTTAATATTGTTAATATGTATGTACTTATAGGTAAATAAATTGTACAATTTCCACAAAATGAAATTTACTTAAAACCCTAATAATAAATAACAATAATACTTAATTCATTATAAAAAATATATTACATGTACATTCAATCTCTATTTAACTTCAAAAATTGCTGGTATAAATTTTTCCAAAATAAAATTGTTTTAAAATATCTAGATTTGCAATCCACTCGGGGTCTTTTTCTATTTCAAAATATTCGCAATCAAAGGGTGTCCACACAAAAAAATACAATTGTCACGCCCCGTAATGCACAGCTGACCCTGCATTTGGTGGAAGTATAGATGTGATGTGTCAACTACCACCTGATTTTAAATTTTCATATTAAAAAAAGTATTTTCTATCTGTAACTCCCTCCCTGATGGTACAATTCCAAAATTTGTAGGGGCACTTATTTTCTAATATATTATCTGTATCAATGAGACCATCAGGGCTAGCCCCCAAAACACCACATTCATGCAGCCATAAGTGTTGGATGCACCTTTTTCCCGGTCGTTTCCATGAAAGTTTTTAATGCTATCTCTTGATCATGATCTCTACCCCATTGCACTGCAAGAACTTTCTGCAGATCATATCCCTCCAAAAGGCTTGTAAATAGAGAAGGGCTATATTTATCCCGTTTGCACGCGGACAGTATAGTTCCAAATTTACTGGCTGTAATCGCATTTTCCGTGCAATCATCATCGTTCACATCTTCTTTGAATAAGTTGGCTATTACATAAAATTTGATAGCGTGACTTGCTTCCATTTTCTATACCTTAAAATAATAGAAATCAAACAGTAAGTTAGAATGAGGTTATGTTGATGCGAATAATCCAACATTATTTAAATTCTCAAACGAATCTTATTTTAAAATATGGTATCAGAAGTGAATACTTTTCATGTAGGAACCTTATACATACCTTTTATTCCGCTACAAATGAATATTAATGACCTTTTATTCCGCTACAAATGAATATTAATGACTTTTTAACACTCTTATAAATTTTCACGTGTTAAATGTTGAATGTTGACATCCAACATTCACTTACCACAATAAGATGCCAGTGATGACGTATTTTCTGAACTGAACGAGATCTCCTGTGAACTAAAGGTTGGTTTACGATTACCAGTTCGGTAAAGGCTGGATGATCTCGTGTATGCTGGGTTGGCGGTCTGATGGGATGGGAAATACCAGCATAACGAAACCTTATACGTTAATTAAGCAATTCTCTACAACCTTTACGTCGCGGCGTGCATGCTTATTTTCGCACGATATTTATAGTTGATATATAAATTCTCCGCCATTCGTGGTGCCTTACAGAAGTCATAGGGAACTATTTACTACCGATTTAGTTGTCATTTAGGGGAGGGTCGTATTTGAGTCTGCGACCGGGACAATTCGTCGGTACCGTGTTGCTGATCCCTGTGATATCTGGGAACTTGTGATATTGTTGGTAGCGTCCGCGCATATATATATATATATATATATATATATATATATATTACTACAAGGATATGTATATATGTAAAACAATTACTGTGAGGCTATAACATCTCATTTAGTAGGGTATAGTAGTGTAATTACCTGTAAAGGTATCAATTAAAGAACCTCTTAGTTTGGATACTTCATTAGAATTGATTCACTTAGGTGACAATCACCTATGCGGGAAAGTGCAATAAAGTAAATCAACATTTGATTGGAGTTTGACCTCCCGCTTATTGCACCTTCAGTGTTTCTAGCAGGAAGCCAATTTTACATATTACTTAATTAATTTTATAATAATTAATAACATCACTACACCTCCTTTTCCTAGAGAATGACCTACACTATGGCCACTTGTGAGGGGCATTCTTTTGGCAATCGGAGTCGACATGCAATTACACAATAATTTATTTACTGTATACAAACTGGATATAAACATGAAAAAGTACAATAAGTTCTACAATTGTGCACAATTCTAATTATAACTTAAATTTCCTATTACATACGACCATAAAGTGCTTACATTTAATAATAATAATAATGTATATTTCATGGAAATGTAAACAATGTACTTACACTCGTCCAAAAAGAAAATAATGGGAAAATACATATTACGTACCTATTCTAATTTTTACAATAAACGTGCAGACGATTTTTGTGTACCTTTACGTGTCTGCCCTTATCGTGTTTGATAATGCAGTTTGGTCCTTCTTCCGAAATTACTGTGTAAGGACCGTTCAACCAAGGATCTAATTTACTACGGTTTTCGTTTGTGATCAATACTGGATCACCCGGATTTAAAAGAATTTCGCACGAATTGATATCATATTTAAATTTACGACTTCTTTTCGCTTTCTCTAGGTACTCTCCAGCTCTCTTTTGAGACAATTGTAACCTATATTTGACTTCTTTATCATATGAGTCGATATTGTACAGCGGGTCTACTCGAGATCCGTTAATTCTCGGGTAAATCGGCTTTCTTTGCAAATACTAATTCGAACGGTGTATAATTCTGATAAGTGCTTGGTGTTGTATTGTAACAAAATGCAAAGTATCTACTCCACGTATCCCAATCTGACTGAGCGTCATTTATGTACATTGTGATATACTCATTGAGGGTACGATGCTTACGTTCACATCCCCCTATCGATTGACTGTGATAAGCTGTGGAAATTTTGTGGGAGATATTCAACTCGGAGCCGAGCGCAGTTCTAATCCTGACCGTTTCAAGGCCTTAATAGACTTGGCTAGCTCGCCTAACTTGGGTCCGAACAAAAACTCACCCGACGAGATTTTTTCGGTAAGCTCTTTCATAGACTTACTCAAAAGTGTAGTCACAATGGATCTTCTCGTTTTTGAGACGTTATAAAATAAGCCTGCAAATAAACGTCCCGCATCTACCAATGGGGTCAAAATATTTTCCCGAATGTGCTTCGGAAGGTTATCTTCTTCTTCAAGAACATTTATAGCTTTGCCCACTGCACTGAGATCTGCACTAATCTGGGATTGATATGTATAGTGTATTAGGTCTCTTGCATTGTGAGCCGCAGACATAATTGCTTTGATCTCTGGGGAAGCTAGCTCGTTTTTCTTGGGGTCGGCGCAGGATGTAAAAAAACCGGTTACGGCCGAATGTTCCGGATTGACACCTAATAAGTGTAAGGTTTCCTCCGAAATATCAAGTTCGTCTTGTAAAATCAGCATCATCAACGTCATTGTTTGACCTTGGGTCAAGAAGGGAGCCCACGTCCTGTCGTGTCGCTTGGAAAGATCCGCAAAAGCGTTTCTATTCATAGAGACGGCCCCGCTGTCACCTTGCTCTGATAAATTCGGTCGTCGACTCGCTGCCACTACTTGAGCGACTTCGACTAACGGGCGATCAAAAATGAGTTGCTGTCGAGTCGGCTTTGGAAGTTCAAGTTAATTACGATTTCCCATGTAAATAATTGCGAAACTAAAGGAAGAGGCAGAATCGAAGCTGGGAGATGAGTACATTCTCTCAATTCCGAAACGTAAATTGCCAAAGATTAAGATCGTGGGACTGAATGACAAGATTGCAAGTGCACAAATGAAAGAGATGATCTTAGCGCAGAATCAATTCCTTGGAGAAAATGCCTACATTAATATCGTCCACATAGCTGAGGACAACAGAAACCCAAACAGGTATATTGCGTACGCGGAGGTTGATGGCAACAGTTACCAAAAAATTTTGAAAGAACAAAAGCTTAACATAGGATGGGACCGGTGCCGGATTTATGATGCAGTTACTACTAGGAGATGTTACAAATACAATAACTTTGGCCATAAGGCAGCGGACTGCACCAAAGCAACGACCTGCCCCAAATGCGCGGGGGACCACGAACTAACTAGCTGCAAAGCCACCGATGACGAAATGAAATGCTGTAATTGTGCGTATGCAGTAGACACACTTAAAATGAAGCTCGACGTCCAGCATCCAGCGTGGTCCAATGAATGTCCAGTCTACAGAAAACGCTTAGAACAAGAAATAAGCAGGATTGATTTTTTAGGACAGCCGCAACATTAGCAAATCAAGGGAATGTGAGCAAAACAATTACATCAAGTTTCAGCATATTATTACCAAAACATCAGCGGTATGCGAACTAAAGGTCAGTCATTCAAAAATAACTTAGCCAGCACTAATTACGACGTAATCCTATTAACAGAAACGTGGTTGACCAATTCTTTTCACGACGCAGAGTTTTTTAGTAATCAATATGCGGTATTTCGAAATGATAGAAACTATAAGGAGACGAATTGCGAAAGAGGTGGCGGTGTACTCATCGCTGTACGACTTGACCTAAAGGCCGAGCAATTAGAATTTGAGAGTAAGCAGAATGAAATGTGGGTCAAGTTCAAACTTAAAAACACTACTTACATAATTGGCGTAATATATTTCAAACCTCAATCGAACACGGAAAAATACGAGTCATTCCTTAAAAGTTTAGAATCAATCGAAAATTTATTGCTCACATCCGAGGTACTACTTGCCGGTGATTTCAATATTCCGGAAATTAGTGATGCAACGTATAACCTTGAAAACGGGAGCTCTAAAGCCAAAGTAATCAAAAATCTCGCCTCCATGTACAACTTAAGGTCCATTAACACAATTAAAAATTCCGATAACAGAACACTTGATTTGATTTTAACAAACATAAATGCTGAAATCACAACGGCATCTGATCTGCTAGACAAAGTAAATCCTCTCCATCCAGCTCTTCAAGTAATACATCAAGCGGAAAGAAAGATTAATCAAACTAGGACAACAACTAACTACAACTTTAAAAAGGCAGATTTTTACAAAATGTATTTACGATTTCGCGACGCCAACTGGGAATCCCTTACCCAAATCGATTACAAATCTGTAAACGACGCGGTAACTACTTTTTATGAAATTGTATACAAGATTTTTGATGAATGCGTACCAAAAGTAACTATCAGGATCACAAACAAGTACCCCATTTGGTTTGATTTAGCTATTATCAAGAAAATTAAATTGAAGAATAAACATCGCACACGAGGCAAATCGGAAGAATTTAAGGAAGACCGAAAGGAACTCAAAAAAATGATCCGTGACGCTTATAAGAAATACATTAGGAACATTGAAGTTGACCTCCGGAGTAATTCAAATAAATTCTGGGGCTACGTTAGGTCCTTGACATCAACCAAACAACTGCCGGAAGTTTTCGAGTACAAAACCATCCCGCTGGAAGATCCCAAAAGCATTGCCGACGCGTTTGCATCGTACAAAGAGGAAAACCTGGATCCGAACGATGGGCTTGAGTCGGACTTAGTACAATCCAAATTGCACTTAACGAACATACAGGAAAGTGAGTTACTAGAATCAATCAAAGTCCTAAAACCACGTGCAGCTATAGGGGAAGACGGGATCCCACCATACGTATTGAAAGGATGCGCACACAGCCTGGTAACCCCCCTGTTGCATCTATGCAACTTGGCACTCCGCACCTCCACTTTTCCCTCAGTTTGGAAATCCACTACAATTACCCCGATCCATAAAAGCGGCAGCAAGAAACTAATCGAAAATTACCGCCCAATAGCTATCATCCCTGCAATAGCGAAAATTTTCGAAAAAGTAATCTATAATAAATTTTATTCCCATCTTGGCAGTGTTATTGCAGATCAGCAGCACGGATTCACACCGAAGAAATCAACAAGTACTAACTTAATGCAGTTTACGCATTTCACAGCCGCCGTCCTTGACAAGAGGGCTCAGGTGGACTGTGTATATACACCGATTTTGCGAAAGCTTTTGATAAGGTCTCCCATCAGGTCCTGCTTCAGAAACTTCATTTTAATTGTGTCAGTAGCCCAACGGCTAAATTTCTTAGATCATATTTAACATCGCGTAAAACGCGAGTGAAATACAATGGGGTGAACTCAACCGAATTTTACCCCTCTTCAGGGGTTCCTCAGGGAACACTACTTGGCCCTTTCCTTTTCCTACTATTTATTAATGACCTACCGCGGGTGATTCAAAACTCCAAAGCACTTCTATTTGCAGACGACCTGCAACTTTTTAATAAAGTGAAATCTTCAAACGATTGTTTAAATATTCAAGCAGACATAAATGCAGTGATAAATTGGTGCAATAAAAACAAACTGACGCTAAACATAGAAAAGTGCAAAGTTGTATCGTACACAAGATCCAACAATCCCACGATTTTTAAATACGAAATAAATGGGCAGGATATCCAAAGAGTCACCTTGGTTAGAGATTTGGGCGTTTTATTCAATAGCAACTTAAATTTTCATCGGCACATTGAATCCCTTATAAATGCGTGCTACAAAGTACTAGGCTTTGTAATTAATTAGGAATACCTACAATTTTACAAGCATTTCCTCAATTATTACCTTATACAATGCGTTCATCAGATCCAAACTCGATTATGCGGCATGTATTTGGACACCCCAAACTTATAAGCACGCAGATATGATAGAGAAAGTTAAAAAAAAATTAGTGCGAATAGTGTATTTTAGGTCGACTCAAAATTTTCCACATTTAATCTCTTACTCCAACCAACTAAAATTTTTAAATAGTGTGCACGGTATTAAAATCTCAAGTTTACAAATTCGACGCGAAGTGATCTGTACTACCTTTGTGTACAAAGTGCCACATGTTAAATTAAGGAAAAACGATATCATCTTTTTAGTGACCACTCCGTCATCGCCGCTATCGAGGAGCCTGTTGGCTTTAAATAAGAAGTGCCGTGAGAGAGACATCGATGTATTTCACGGCGCTTTGAATGAATTAATTAGTCATATAAGATCGTAATTACTGTGTAGTTTTAGTTTTAAGTACAGCACCCCAGTGCCATGTAATTGGAATAATTGTATTCTGTATGGTATCTGGCTAAACAAATAAATAAATAAATAAATAAACAAAAGTTCCAAAGGTGACTCGACAGCAACTCATTTTTGATCGCCCGTTATAATCAAAGCAAATGGTTATTATGTGTAAAAATCGCCTCCGTTTATGAATGAAAAAAATAGCAATTAGAATGGAATCTGGAAAATCTAACACAACGTTTCAGGATCCCCGGGAGTTCTGGGTAGCTCTAAAGCCGGAGATAACAGGTCACCACTATTTTAATTAACTAAACCTTTATAATACAAGAAATATAATTAGAAATATATGTACCCAAATTAAATAAATATTTACACTATACGGAAAACTAAATAAAAATTGTTGAATGCGACCCAATTGTAAACGTCAAAACGGGTCCTTAACATTCCTTGGGAGTTTTATTTATCTGTAAATTAACCTGGTTAGCATCCAGCCGGTAGGTAGTTTAAAAGACAATTTCTGTTATAATTTAACTTTGAACGGGATCAATACAAATCAAGTAAGTTTTACGTTATAAGATAAAACTAAAACATATCCAGGGTATATTACAGGAGGGCTTGTTCCGGGCGAGCGCGAATGTACATTCGCAGCGCCTACCGAAATGTTCCAACAGGTATAGCTTAATTATGAGCACACTTAATTCACGGATGGTAACTGGGGAAGAGCGCGGTCATACAACCGGCACATCTTTTTACTGGAGGGACACGTAACCTCAATTAATGGCACGGCTATACGGCCATACGCTTTTAATTCACGGCCGGTAACTGGGAGAGAGCACGGTCCTATAACCGACACCTCTAATTCAGGGACAGGTAACTGGAGAAGGTGAGAGCGGTGTTACAACCGCCACTCCGGCATTGTTAGAGCGCGATTTACAATCGCCACTCTAACCAGGGAATGGGACTTTGGTACTTAGGATCATGGCAAAGACCTAAGACCCCCTTTCTGGTTCGGTTTCTACTTTTATACTGTTTGGAAGGAAGTGGGAATGTAATGGTACTGGTGGGAATGTCAACAAATATGACGTCTCCGAAACTACCGCCCTCTGGTGATAGAAATCTAGATTAATTCCAGATTCCTACAGGAGTCAAATTAAGAATTAATCTTATTAAATTTCACATCTTTAAGGTTAATTTACACACAATCGTGACGTGACAGTGCCGTGACCGTTCCGTGATTGCAACGACATAAAATATGCCGATATTTTCGGAAGATGAACTATTAGCGATGGCCATTATTTTGGATGAAGAAGAAGCAGAACGCGATGAAGCCAATAAGGACAAGCGGATGTAGGTGCATCCAGCATGGAAACAACGCGCAACAGAGGGCGAATTTATGACTTTATATAAAGAATTGATGGAGGATTGAGCAAAGTTTTTCGAATATTTCAGGATGTCCGAAAATTCATTCAATTTACTCTTGGGAAAGTTAGAAGGTTATATGACAAAGATACGCACTGGAGAAAAGCTATCACACCAAGAGAATGGTTGGCCGTTTGTTTGAGGTGTTCATGCAAGAATAACTATTTTTTCTCTCTATAATTCAAAAATTCAAAATGAATTTTATTTTGATATATCAAAACGATTCGGTTATGGGTAATGGTACCAAAATCCGTGACGTATATCCGTGTGCGTGCGGTGCGCAAGAACGAACCTACCATGTTTGGACAATAGAAGATACATACAAGACAGACGACATATCGTGCGCGCAGAGTTACAATTGTGACAAGACTGGGGCCCCATTTTTTACAACATCGTCAAACAAACAAAGGTAGGTGCCACACCCAATCATAATTGACATCGTTTATTTGTTCATTTGTTATAAATTTTCTACATGTTGGGCATTTTTACAGCCCATTAACAATTATTCTTGTTGCGCTAACATGAGGCAAGTATAAAATTATAAGCAATAAATATAAATATAAAAAAAAAGTTATGACATACACAAAAAACATTTATTTTTTAACCATACAAAGATAGATACAAAAGCAAATATTATAACATATTATAAAATCCTCCGCGTTGGTGTTCCTCCATAGGGGGAAAACATCCTGTTGGAGAAGGTTGTGGTTGGTTGGAGTATACAGACTTGGAAGAATTTGATGATGAGTGTTGACTTTGATAGCTTTTTACAGGGGAAGGAGGTTGAATGCGTGTAGCAGACGAATTTCTCGCCATAGATACTGGTCCACCAAATTGCTGTTCATCACTAAGCATTTGCTGTTCATATTTTTGGACAACAGTGAATATCTCCGCTTTCGCGTAATGCCAGTAAATAGGGCTTAGGATTTTTAGAGCTGGCGCAATTCCGGATAGAAAGGCGTCAACTGGATGTTCTGCTATAGGCTGTGCCTTAGCTTCATTTTTTTTCACCAGATACTCCATGACAGTGGCAGCGGCAGATTTAGGTGGGGGTGCGTTACATAATGTGTGCTTGCCCTTTTTTCTAGGTATTGGATTATTCGTTGGAATTTGTGACTGTACTGCAGCCAAAGCAGTGTCTTCTGCTGTTAGAGTGGTATCTTCAGTATTTTCATTTTCGTCGTCTTTATCGATGAGATATCGTCATCGTCGTCGTTGGATTGGTCTTCAATATTAGTTTTAGTATCCCGATCTTCAAAAAATTTGTTCAAGAAGCCCAACTGCTCTGCATATTTGTATAACTTCACCTTTTTGGCCTTTTGCCCACTTACAGTTTTAGTTTTTTTTAAGGATTTCCTCTAATTGTCCCTAATATTTGCCCATCTGGTCTTACATGAAGATCCTGAAACGCAAAGAAAAGAATATTTGGGTGAACTTGGTATTCAGGATTCATACTAATATTAATAAAATAATGAAATCCATTTCCCTTTGAGATAATTTCAGCATCTTTTACTGTGTTTATTCTTTCAGGTATTTGGCTACAGGCGATTCTCTAAACACCATTTCCTTCAGCTATCGCATGGGACATAGTACAGTTTTCAAAATTGTACGCGAAACCTGCCAGATAATCGCAGAAAATTTGATGAGCGAGTTGATGCCAACTCCAACAGAAGAAATGTGGAAAACAATCGCTAATGATTTTTATCAAATGTGGAATTTCCCTAACTGTATGGGAGCAATAGACGGAAAACACGTCAATATTCAGGCTCCACCAAACTCAGGATCAATGTTCTTTAATTATAAGAAGACATTTTCTATTGTGCTGCTGGCTCTTGTAGACGCTCACAATAATTTTATTGCCATTGATGTAGGGGCATACGGTAAAAATAGCGATGGAGGAATTTTTGCCAATTCAGCATTAGGCAAAGCACTTCAGCGCGGCTCGTTGCATGTTCCAAAAGATGCTACCCTTCCAAACACAAATATTCAACTGCCATACGTTATTGTAGCCGACGAGGCATTTCCTTTGAAAACATACATAATGAGGCCCTATCCAGGAGATAATTTAGACGACCGAAAACGTAATTTTAACTATCGTTTGAGCCGCGCAAGGAGAACATCAGAAAATGCTTTTGGTATTTTGAGTCAAAAATTTACACTTTACAACCGACGCATTCAGGCTTTTCCTGAACACGTAGATCATATAATTTCAGCTACTTGCTTGTTGCATAATTTTATTAAAAAATATGATACCCGTACACTGATAAAACAGATTTGGAAATTTACAATAAAATTACTGCTTTTCGGTGACCAAGAAAATTGATGTAAAATCGCAAGCATTCAGTAAACGAGTACATTTACAATTTATATGTAACTACGGATTTACAATTTCTTTGTAAAAAAGCCATTATTTTGTAACAAAATTTCACAATATATTTGTGATTTTAAAATTTAAAATACATATGTTACATTGAAAATTTACTTTTTTTTGTAAAATTTCATGTTATTCTATTATAGTATATTTACCAAGTTTTGGCATTTTACATAGCGATGCACGTTTTTTACATTGTAACTGTACCATTACATTTTTGTAAATTTCTACGGGGTAAGTAAAAGTAAAACCACTATCTAACATAATAGAAACTTGTATTATATGTTGCAACGTAACGCATAATTCAAAAATACAAAAAATCCAATAAACAAAACTACTATTCAGTACACAGTTCGAAAAAATAATACTATTTCAGTAAATAGTGAAGATTATATATATTATTAAATAAAGATATGTCATTCTAAATGTCTCTTAATTTATTTAGAAGCGCAAAAACTTTGCGCTTAGACGAGTTACTTTTTTTTGATTTAGTACCATCGTCAGGGTGGATTTTTAAAAAGTATCGTTGAATCGTTTCCATGACGCAGGAAATTTCCTTTGGATACTGTAAATTTAGTAGAAAATACAGCCCAACTAGACTTTGCACTGCCTCCTCAATCGATTCAACTTCAATTGCCTGCTCCTTTTCCAAAACAATGAACAGCTTTCTTTGAACTCCCGAATCTGTATTTAAAAATTATTGTGTTAGAAGCTTTAAATAGTACATATGACTAATTTATTTGAGGTCCTTTAAACGTTGTATATTATACAAGATATTCAAAACTGATTTAGCGCAGTTCGATTTTTAAAACTTTTATTTATAAATGCAGCAGAAATGAGTATTGCTACCTTGTATAAATTGGAAACATACAAGTAAATAAAGAATGATATGTGGCATTTTTCAGAAAAAAAAACATAAAAGATTGTATCTTTTTAAACACAAACATTGTCAGTAGATACTGTACACCCTACCACGTGTCATTCTATATTTTGGACATCCATAATACCAAATTAAGAATTTTGAAAACTCTTACCTACATCCACAATACACGGCGAAAGAAATGATATATCATGATCCAGATCTGGGTCTTTCTATAACAAAAATAATTCATGGTACCTTTTATGTTCATACTCGAATACTACACCTACCTCAACTTTTAGGTAAATTTTTTCAAGATCTTCCTTATATAAGTTGCACAAAATTTCCAACGTATCTAATACTTTGTTGTTATTTTTGGGAATTTTGAAATTTCTTTGAGAAGCATATTTTGAAATATTTTCAAACTTTTCTGCCATAACATCAGATAACGTCTTTAGGTTTGCCTTGGTTAAATTATGAAAATGCCAATAAATTGCTGGAATTTGGAACAAAATAGGCCATTCTTCTTTTATTTTATGCACGGTGGGAGGATCTTCACTGTTGATAAAGTTTCTTTGGTCTGTATAAGTTCTGTTCATTAATTCATAAAATTCGTCATTATATTGCTGTTTTTTTCCTAATTCTAACAATTTAGATTTATAGTCCTCATCGTGTTGATCGTCATTTATTACATCTGGAGGGTTCCAGTTGGAACAACCCGCAGTGGAATTTTTAATTTTCTTAGATTTTGAAGATATTTGGTTAGAAGACAATCGCTTGTGTGGCCTATTTAAGTAATGGATTCTTTCATGGAGTTTTGTAAAAATGCTGCTACATCCATCTCCTAATGTTACCCCATCGTCATCGACATCTTTAAATACATTTGGGTATTTTGTTATTATTTTATTGGCCACAATTCTAATGGATTTGCTTGATGGTAGAGACTTTATAGCCATCATTTCGTTTGCAACCATATGCACAATCTCTGTTATTATTCGTTTATCACGCACTCCCTTCTCGCATACATTAATTACATTAACAGATAACTTATTCCATGGAATTTCGAAGCTAGTCCACATATATTCCATATTGTTGTCTACATGAAGTATACGTGCATTTACAATGTTGATGTTTTCTTTTTCGTCATAATTGCCATCTGCACCTGCAGTAACGGAATCTATCAGAGAAACCGTACTGGCCAGAGACACAGTACTGGCTAGTGATGTAGCTCCAGAAATGCAATCCGTATCGGTCCACTCTTCACCCGTTTGCAATAGAATTAGAATTTGTTCTTTTACCAACATAAGGATGTCATCTTCGTCCACTATGGTTCCGTCACTCTCCAATACTAGCTTCACTCCATCTATTTCAAGTTTTTGGGAAGCTGAAACAATTATGCCATTACAAACAACGCGGGACAGTAACGACCATACTAACCTTTTAACACCAGTTCAACATAAACGTTTTCCTCTGGAACACAAACCAAAACTTTTCGAGTACGTGTCCTATTCCATACTTTGAATAGATGCATCTAAACAGTATGTTAAATATTATTAGAAACTGCTGTACGTATGTGAAATATTGATTAACATTTTTAGGTAAAGTAATATCTTTTAATTGAATAGGTGCATTATTTTTAACAGTGAAGAATGATTTTTTGATAAGTAACAGTACCTACTAATTAATTGATTGCAAATATGTAATATAGTAAGTCACAAAGTTAGGAGAAACAATAAAGGCGAAACTTTCCGCTGCATATAACGGAACTGATTTTGCCTCTTCTTTCATTTTTTTTTTCATTTCGTCAGTATGATATACCGCAATTATTTACGCTTTCAAAAATTAATAGCAAAAAGTAATGCAAAATTTTAGAAATCTGGAATTTAATACATCAACACCATACTCTTATCTTTCCAATATAAAAACCCTCAACTCAATATCTCGCTGAAAAGTGACAAAAATGTGAAATAAAATGAGATAAATTAAATCAGTGCCGTTACACAGCGGAAAGCCTCGCCTTAATGCAAAAAAATTGATTGCAGTATGTATAACGTAAAAAAATTGATACTTTTGGTTAAAATCGAAAAATTAACATTTAAAATACTTTAAACTTCTTTGTAAAATGTAATCTTTATACTACATACGGAGTTGACTTAAAACTATAAAGAATAGTTTTTGTCGTACTTAAATACTGTAAAAGTGGTTCATGACATAATAAACTGTTAAATTTAACGAAAATGTTAATTTCGGTTTCATCGGCAAATTGGTAAAACAAATCATTGTAATAATTACAAAATATTTTTGTCTTTTGACCTACAAAATAAATATCGTCATATTCTTTGGTTATTAAAATGAACTGGATTTTACACAATAGAAAGTATCCAAATGCGTCTATATCATAGCAAACTACTTGACCGGTTTTGTAAATGGTACCTCTAAAAGTAACATAGTTTGATATGAGAATGTCAATATTTCCAATGTTAGTTGTAATTAGATTCTTCATTTCATACGATACTTCACACTCGCCTAGTATATGAGCATCATCTGACAATACACTGTCATTAAATAACAAATTTTGGGTTGCATTCAGTGCTTGAAACAACTGATGCTTATTTGATAGTGAAAATAATATGTTCTTATAATTCTTACTATGTCGTATGGCATTTTTAAAGTACTGGTGTTTTGCCTCAAATCTTAAGGTCCATAAGTGCCTTAGTGGTCCAAATTGTCGTGTTAAATAAGGATAGTGAGACATAAAGTGATGTTTTGGTTTTAATGAAACGTTGGGAAACAAAGTTTGGCGATCTTCCAAATACTCAGTAATTAAAGTTTTTAACAGAGCTACTTGATTAAGAGAAATTTTAAAACTTAACAGCAGCAAACAAATTCTTCGTAAACATAATATTAATTTCCATATTGCAGAGACATGGAGGTTATCATCGTCATGAAATACAAAAGGGAATAACAACAAAAGCATCATATTTTGTGATGCATTACCAGGAAGTTTGTCACCTTTGCTCAATAAAGGAAAAGTGTATTTTTTCTCAAACAGAAAATGCAGTTTGCTCACTTTAATGTTAAGTTCATCGTAAGAAAACAATTTGTTAGAAACACATTGGTTAATTGCCAACATCAAATCCCTTTGTACTACACCTTCAAACATGTCATGAGCAATGCAAGGCGGTAGTCCAGGATTACACACGTGATAATAATTTAAGTCGTTTAACACAGAATTGTGTTTAATTCCTTTAGAAGGCTCTGCTTCAAAATTTGCCATGTTAACATCGAATTCGTACAATGACTTTGTTCGGTAAACTATAGGTTTATTAGAATGAGCATAGCTAAAATCGCAGTATCGACAGAAATAACCCGATGTGCTAAAATTTTCGACAAACCCACCAACTTGATGACTGCCTAAGTTGTCTCCGATCACTGATAATAAGGAACCTTTTATATTAATTCGTTTATTGTCAACTTCTACTTCGACGCCTGTAACTTCTATAAACTTCAAATCTTCCAATAATACAGTTAGCACTTTATGAAAACCTAACATTTTAATAGTTTTTTCGTACACCAGTCCAATTAATTGAATATGACCCACTTTTGACCAATGCCTACTGGGTATATTATTAACTGTAAAGTATATTCCAACTACTTTATGCTTTTTTCTGGATGAACCTAAAGGGTTACAAATTTCGAAAGCGTCTTGGTAAAGAATTAATTGCAAGGCATGGGGATTATTCTCGTAAAATAAGTTATTCTTAAAAGAAATACCATCACATATATTTGAGAAATCCTCAACATTGCTTTCTGGTGAAAAATATGCTTTACAAAAATTTTTTGTTTTAAACAACATTTCTATCGTTTTTATAATCGGGACGTAATAAAACTTAGAACCACCTTCTAAATTAATACACTTTGGCGAAATGTAATTAAAATAGTTTTGATAGTATTTATTTCTTATGAATTTAGATCTTAGTTCACCATGTACGGCGTTATGAACTTTGTCAAACAAATTGTTTTCTAGAATGGCTTTATCGATTACAACATTGTTAGTTTTTAACTTTTCAATTATGTAATCATTATTTAATTTATTGAGGTCAGTTATACCATCGATAACTATTTGCATTGATTTATTTGTCATAAAGTATTTTGATTCCATTGTCAGATATAATGAACTGATTAACTTGAGGCTTAGCTCTTCATAATTATTGTTAGGTTGACCTTCACCTACTACGACAGGATTATAATCTTCATCTGAATCCAAATTGTTAATTACTTCGACGTCCCCGACGTCATTTATATCACAAAGCGTGTCTTTGTTTCTTACAAAAGAACCTTTCAAACTTTTAAAATGAATTCTACGCATATGTTGTGACAAATTATTCACCTTTGTAAACACTGTCTCAGTTTTACAGGAATCAAACAAAGGGCATTTCAAAGGAATGCTATTTTTAATGTGACTATATGCATGCTTACACAATTCATTTGTATTAGTGGTTTTAAATACACACACAGTGCATGAAACAGAAGCAAGCATCATCGTCGAATTATAATTAAATTTATGATTTTGGAGGATATGTTTTTGAAAGTGTCTGTAATTTGAGAAGTTTAAATTGCAGTTGTTTTTCAAGCATTTGAATGTTGCACCATGTGTGTTTCGATGATAGCTTAAGTGAACATTATATTTGCTCAATGTTTTTAAATTGAAACCACAAATGGTGCACTTAAATATCATTGTAACTTATACCTAGCTTATAACTACAATGGGTTAAATATAGGTATACTTTCCTTTTTATGTTTACACACCAACTCCAACACGAGCACCAGCACCACTAACGCACAGATAGAAGTAAAACGGTAATGGCGAACGCGCACAAGCACAAATTACTTACTCAATGCATAAAAATCCCGTGTCGACTATAAATTATTCTATCTATTGGTTAAAATTTACATGATATTTGTAAAATTACTATTTCATTGAAATTTTCCCACTTTCTCTTTGAAAATTACAACCTATTTGAGTATACTATGTGTTTTTTTGAAATTTTACAATCCATCTTTGTAAATGTTTTACAGAATTGAAAAATAACAAATTAAATTTACAACCATTTTGCTATTCCTACAATCCGAATCAGAAAAATGCAAGAAATGTGTAAATTTCCCAGTATTATTGTCGTTATAAAATTTACAATCAATATTAAGGTAAATTACGTTAATTTCATTGTAATCTCTAAGTAAATTTACAGCAATTTTTTTCAGTGTACGTACAACTACGTTGCTCATCAGCAAATGGATTTCAAGAATGGAGAGCACACACTACAACATTTACAATTACAAGGAGGAAACGCAATGAGAGATGCATTTCGTGTACGAGAGACACTTACTCAATACTTCAATTCTGAAGCTGGATCTCTACCTTGGAAGTGAATTGTCTTCAGTAAAGGCGTATATCATTGTTCACTCCATGTAATAATTAAAAAAATATATATATTGACTTACCATTTGTTCCCATTTCCACTCCAATTTTATTCCATATGGAATTTTTATAGTTTGTGTCCATATATTTTTGATGGGACAGATCGTACAATACTTTCGCACTAATTCTATTAATATTTCGTCATTCATATTCTGACGTCAAAGAAAATATGAAAATATATAAGAAATCGAGCTGACAGCATAAAATCACGGCCGTGAAAACGAAAAAATATCGTTAGGAAGTAATTTCACGGTACGGTCACTGTGACAGCACTGCTCGCACTGTCACTGCCACGCGCCGGGTCAGTGTGAACAGTACCGTTATAATTCATAGAACAATATTATTAAGGTCGATTCACACATAACAGTGACGTCTCAGTGCCGTGTCAGTTCAGTTTCAGTGACATCCGTGACGTGCCAGTGGAGTCTCTTCACACATATCCGTACAGTTTCAGTTCAGTTCTCAGCGATTGACGATCAGGATGGCTGCGTTTACAGACAGAGAATTGGCTATGATTGCTGTAATTTTAGATGAAGAAGAGACGCATCATACAAAGAAGCGCAAATGGGTACATGAGGCTTGGAGAAAAAGAGAAACTGAAGGAGAGTTTGCTACCTTATACAAGGAACTGATGCACGACGAAACAAAATTTTTCGAATATTTTAGAATGTCCGAAGAGTGTTTCAATATTCTTCTCAGTAAAATAGGACCACAATTAAAAAAACAAGACACTCATTGGAGAAAGTCTATTACACCGAGGGAACAACTAGCAGTTTGTTTGAGGTAAGTAATAACAATACAAATCTCGACAATATATATTTGTACATACTTAATGTAAAAAATCATGTTCAGTTAATTTGGAAAGTTGTGAAAATAACTTTGCAAAGGGTTGTTGGTCGCGTTTGAATCTCCCACAGATGAAAATTCATTTTGATTTGGATTTTGCAAACTATGTTGTGGAAATGGTGCAACAGGCGACGGTAAAGGAGTAGTTCCTCTTGACGTGGAGGTCGATGATGAGTGCTCGGAATGTAGCCTTGTGTTAACAAAATTGGGGCCAGGTCTTGGATATGAGTCCTGCTGCATGATCATTTCCATTTCGTATTTTTGCACCGTGTGAAATATTTCAGATTTTGCTAGATGCAAGTAATATGGCGTAAAACTTTTTAATGTTGGAGCTACACCAGCTAGAAATGCGTCCACGTGGTGTTGCGGAGCAGTAGTAACTTGCTTGTCCTTTTTGTCACTTATCAAATACTCCATTAGTTTTGCTGAAGCAGTTTGTTGTGGCGGTAGCCTTCTTGATGATGTTTTGAATGAGCGTTGAGTTAAATGAGATTGCTTGTTTTCACTCGAATCTAATACATTAGGTTCCAATACATCTGAAACATTTGGCCCTGATTCATTAGGTTCCGATGATACATATGTTTCTTCTGCATCCACATTCTGCGAGTTTTCTTCTTCATCTATGTTTTCTACATCGTTTTCAATATTGCCTTTTGTTTCCCTCTCGTAGAAATAATTGCTTAAGAAGCTTAGTTGTTCGAAATATTTATACCGTTTTATTTTTTTTGCAGGGTCTCCGCTCTTAGTTTTTGTTTTCTTCATCGATTTGCGATAATTGTCTCGTATATTATTCCATCTAGCTTTACAGGATGAACCTGAAACAATTTCAAAAACTGTAAAGTACAAGCAGTTACATAATATTTTTAATTAAAATATGATTTCTTTTTTCAGGTACTTAGCTACGGGAGATTCCCTAAAAACAATTTCCTTTAGTTATCGCCTGGGGCATAGTACAGTATACAAGATTGTAATGGACACTTGCAAGGTTATAACTGAGCGCCTTCTGAATGAAATGCTACCAAAGCCTACAACAGAGATGTGGAAATCTATAGCCAACGACTTTTTCACACTTTGGAATTTTCCTAACTGTTTGGGAGCTTTGGATGGGAAGCATATTATCATTCAGGCTCCACCAAATAGCGGCTCTCTGTTCTTCAATTACAAGAAGACGTTCTCAGTTGTTTTGCTGGCGCTTGTTGACGCCCATTACAATTTTATTGCGGTTGATGTTGGTGCTTACGGCAAGAACAGCGATGGTGGAATTTTTTCAAGCTCTAATTTAGGCAAAGCACTTCAACGAGGTACCTTATCTGTACCAGGAAATTCTACATTGCCAGATACAACTACTGACGCTCCACATGTAATCGTAGGTGACGAAGCATTCCCTCTAAAAAGTTATTTAATGCGACCATATCCAGGACATGATTTAGACCTACAGAAGCGTATCTTTAATTATCGCTTATGTCGTGTTAGACGAATTGTCGAAAACACATTTGGCATTTTGTGTCAAAAATTTAGAATCTATAATAGGCGACTACAGTCCAAACCAGAAAATGTAGATAATAATATAATACTTTCAACATGTATTCTACACAATTTCATTAAAAAGTTTGGTGCAAACACGTACATATACCAAACAATCAACGCCAATTCGAATGAGACAAGAGAGGAAATAAGACTTGACAATCTGCCTATGCAGGGGGGCAATGCAACACAAGATGCTTTTCGGGTGAGAGAACTCTTCAAGGAGTACTTCAATTCAAAAATTGGATCTGTACCATGGCAAGAAGAGAGAATTACTTTTTAATATGTATAATATTAATATATGACTATACTTAACAAAATATGTATAGACATAAAAAATTATAATAAAAATAAGTAGGTACTTACCATTTACTTTCATTTCTCCTCCTATTTTATTCCAAATGTCGAGTTTGAAACTGTTGTCCATATATTTTGGATGTGACAAATCGTAAAGGACAGAATATTTACGAACCAATTCAATCAGCTGTTCATCATCCATTTTTGGTTTTTATTTTCAATCCAATACTAAACTAAAGTAATTATTTATACACATGCAATACGCACAAACGAGCAAACAACGCACAGACACGTCAGTGATTTATTAAAAATATCGTTGGCGACAATATGCACTTTTGACGGTACTGATACTGTTCTGACACTGAAGGTTAAAATACGGAACTGTGTCGGATGTGTGTGAATGCGTTCATTTAAATTCAGAGTAATGATATTATTTATGACTGATACTGATGGAATTTCACGCAACTGAGCGGATACGGCACTGATATGTGTGAATAGACCTTTAGTCTTGTCGGTTTGAGTACGTGCCGGACACGGCACTGTTATGTGCGAATCGACCTTTACACTCCAAATATTTATACTTCAAAATTCTATGCATACTTTCCAAATACATATTAGTGTTTATCAACAATTCCTTTCTGTAACAGTATGCCCACGACCTTGTATTTGATTTATAATTAGTAAGGTAGTGGGCGGCAAATATGGCCCAGTTAAGCTTAAAATGTGTTTCAAATTTTTACTTTGATAATTATGTTAACGGTTTTCACATAAAACTTTAAGCTATGTATACATTGTTATATGCATATAATATCATTAATTAAAAATGATTCTTATTAGACATTAGATGCAAAAATATTTATCCTTGCAAATGGCCCATATTGCCCAACCGTTGGGTTATATGGCCCACACCTTAAATTTTATTTAAAAATATATCAAGTATTGACAAATACAGGTATTACAGTTAGCAACATTCAAATTTATCGTAGTCGTAGGCCTGAAGGCCAACGCATTCTTCATGATAACAAGTTTCACATTTTACACACATTCTCTTGTCCAGTTGCTCATCCTGCTCACATGCTGCACAAAACCAAGAATCTGGTTCGGTCTCATTAGAGGACTTTGGAATATCGCTTTGTTTTTTGATGTTGAGGGAATTGCAACTGAAGTGGATGAGGCAACAGATTTGGAAGTCGAAGTTTGTCTTTGGTCGTCTTTACGGAAAAGGTCCTTTGTCACTTGCTGTGCTTTATAATTTATGGTTTTACGTCGCTTTGTTACAACCTGAATTTTTTTGTCGCCGGGTGTCGGTAACATTTCTTTAAATGATTCATTTAATTTCTGCGGGGAAGACTCCTGAGAAGTTATCCTGGTCTTACTTCTCAAAGTAGCTAATGGAATATTTTCATCATTATCATCAGAGGAGGTATCGCCTCCCGTTTCTTCCCGATTTTCGTTTCTTTCCATTAATTCATCTGGCATGTTTCTTTCCGTTACCAAGGAAGGGGCAAATGCTGAATCAGGAATTGTGTCTGGGTTTAGAGGGAACAGACCCGTAGCTCTAAATCCACTCATTATATTTTCTGGCGTCATACATTTTGGCCAAACACGAGAAAAAATTATGTTAAACCTTGCCTTGTTTAATGTTCTTTGAGGGTGAGTATCCCAATATCTTAATAGTTCCTGGTCCCAATTCGCCTCAAAGGAGCGGCTTTGTCTAACGGTTGTAATTCATGCGTGGTATTTGAAGGCAGACAAAATAATATATAATATTAACTATTTCCACGTTTCCCACCTTCATTCTAATAGGTTATTAAACCTAGTCATTGTTATTGTGCACCTCATCAAGCATTTTAAAGAAAACAATTTCTTTTAAATTTCTTTTTTGTCCGACTGAAGATTGGCTACGATATATTTGTCGGACACTTGTACCACGTATTAAGTACGTTTCTCAGAGATAATACTTTTTTTTGTCCGACAAATATTAATAAATTTTTGGTCCTCGTAAAACTGTCAATTTTCGTGTGTCGGATTGCAAAATCGGTAAAAGTATTTTGTCGGACAATGTTAAAATATCATTATAGACATAATTCTCAAGAAATGTTGCTAATATCAGCTGGATATCTATAAATTTTTTCGAGTATTTATTTTTGCACGTTTCACTCGGTAGACACCCCTAACGCTCCAACATTTTTGTCCGACAATTGTTTTTTCAGGAGTTTTACAATGTTCCCTTTCGATTAAACTTTTTAGAACCACAGTATCTATAAATTTTTTACGATACCAAATTTAGTATTTTCGAAAAGAAATGGAGGAGAAACGCCGCGAGTACGAAAAATTTCATAGATAGAAAAAGTGGTAGACTCGCCATGATGAAGCGATACAAGAAGTTACAGGAGGGTATTAATAAATAGCACTTTATGTCAGCAGGCACTCAGACTAATACTTTATACCATGAATTAACTTGAGATGTCTATCAACATTACTTTTGCTATTAAATGTCTTATCACACACCAAACATACGTTAACCATTTTTAGTACAACCTTTGTTTATGAATAAATAAATGTACAACTAATGAAATGACCCAAAATTCACAAAATCCTAATAATAGGTTAGATTAAAAACAATAACAGTCAAATCCTAAGGTCAAATCGTCTAACACTAACTTCACGTTGAATTTCAAGGTGAGGACTAAATCCCTATTTCTGTATTAGACCCGCGTCGTTAAGCTCCGGTTCTAAGCAATTGAGTTTCTCCCCAACTCATCTCGGCTTCCAGAACGGGTGCGCTTGTGATTTGCACATGCTAATCCTAAAAAGGAAAATACGTTCCGAAACTTTTTGTATTGGTCTTACCTGGATGAAATAATGACGTAATAAAACTCGTAACCAAACCTAACAATAGCAAACGCGCAACGTGAGCACCAAAAACGAATGAAAAGCGGGTACGTTGTCGGATAGGGAAGGGAGAGGTTTTCATCTTTAAACTTATATCCAGGGGCGTACTACAGAGTAAAATTAAGTGATATCTTCGGACTGGGTCCGAAGTATAATTGGTCAAATTAAATATTCTAATCTTAGGAATTTGACTTATGATTCGACATTCCTAGTATTTAGTTATTCAAATTTCAGTTGATCCACAGCACTATAATTTAAATGTATGGTCATTGAAGTAAAATAATTTTTTACAGTTCTATTATACGAAATATTTAAAATAGTCACGTCCTTCCAATACATTTGTAGAGAAATGGACTGTATTGATTAACAAAATAAAAACGCATAAGACAATCTTATTTAAAAACATGGCCTACCTTGCTGTCGCGTTGGTAGGCTGTTGCTTTGTTGAGGGATTGCGGTACACGTTCGCGTTTTTGCAAAATTTAGTTTTCACAGTTCACACACACAGAAGAGAGTAGGGTAGTAGGGCGGGTTCTGGACCAGCCACCTGGTGGTGACCTTGGAAAGTAGGTCAAGAATGATGGCCACTGCCCCCCCCCTGTTCTCTTTTTTTTGGGGTGGTTAACCTTTTTGTGTCATATTTCATTTTCAAGGTCAAGTGTCATATTTCATTTTCAAGGTCAAGTGTCATATTTCATTTTCTAAATCACTTTGTGGTGTAGTATTTAATTTTCAAGGTCAATTTTTTTGTTTCATATTTCCTTTCCAAGAGTCTCTCACCTATCCCCCTCCAATTGATTATTGATAAAGTGTTAAAGTTAGACTTGGAAGTATTTGTTACCAATCGAAAAATGGCTAAACTGATGATAAACGATGAAGTGACGCAAATCAACGTGAATTTGCCGATAGATAGTGAAATTCAAGAAAGAATGGGAAAACTAGCGATGAAGTAAAGTGCGTATGGTGCTGGGGAAATAATAGTAATAATAATAATAATGTTAGATTTTTGTTTTGTTTTTTATTTGTGATTTTCAGTATATAGCTTGCTTATTTTAAAAATTAATTAGAAATTTGTTCGATATTATTGAATGGTTGAAATATATATCGTAATAAATGGACTCTTATATTGCCACTTTTGTTATTGTGTGTTTTTACTGGGCATGAAGACACGTACAATAAAAAAAAGGAGTTACCATTTTTATTTTAATACCTTAAGACGTAATTCAAATGTATGCTCTATTGATTGAATTTGCATGATGGTTGAAATATATGGCAATAAATGATCTTTTAGTTATTCACTTCTATTCTTGTGTATACACCTGTACCTGCATGAGCGAATAGGTATCATGGAAACACATGATTTAGCATAGCAATTTACTAGGTCCTGCCAAGTTAAACTCGGTCCGGATGAATAACCCTAATCCTCCTCCCCTAGTAGGCCTATCAGCCCTTATTAACTTATAATATGGTATGCTAACACAACTGTCAGGACACTTTTCACTTAGCCATGTTTCACTGATTCTAATTATATCAAATTTATGTTGTTTTATTATTTCCGAAAACATATCAAAATTGCTAAACAGGGTGTGACGAAGAAAACTAGAAGGAAATAAGAAACCCAGCACTACGGCTCCAGCTGCTCTCGGTGGTAGGGGTGGTTCGACGATCCTGAAAGAAATACCTATAAATGCTCCGAAAATTTAGGCGCCACTAATTTTTCAATAGTTCCAAGCCGTACAGGAAAAAAATTAGAAACCTGCTCCTGTTGGTGTGGAAATGC